TGCTGTCAACCAGAACTCATTTAATATAAGTAAAATTCCCTTTAATAAAGAAATATCATATCTTATATCATATCATCATATCATATCATTTTCACTTTCTTATGTTTAGGTTTTACACCAAAATTCTAGAACATCTATTTTGACACATTTCAATCGACATAACTAAAAGGAAATGGCTTGGGTCAAACCAAAACACAGATTATTTATCTTGAAAACTGCTTTGAGTATGCTCTGATATACTCCACAATTCAAATCTGTCAGTGTTTAACCTAGAAGCACCTGCACCCTCTATCTGCCCTGATCACTCTGCTCCTCCGACGTTACTTTCTCCTTCCTTTTTCTGGTATGAGCCAAAAGACACACGATTAATTTGCATGGCAAACATGCTCAATCTTTTATTACAGAACGCAGGAACAAACAATGTGGCCCAATTCATACGATAGCACAAGAAACACAAAGCAAAAAGCTGTACCACTGACTCCACATTGATATTAAGCATTATCAGTTTTGGCATAGGGCCTATCGGTGCATAATATATACAAACAAATTGTAGCTAATTTTCTTTCCTTTGATGTTATTGATGCTCATATGAAGCACAAAATGTTTTTTTCCCTATTTAGTACAAAAAACTTACCTGAAGCTTTCCCTTGTTTAAAAAAAAAAATCTTCATTATCTATCTGTAACTATCTGGCTCATCACTGACTCCCTACAAACAAAAATGCAAATCAATAATATGGCTTTATACTTTTTAGAGGGAATTATTATTAATTACTTACTAAATGTTATGCATTAAGTTGGTGGTAATTTTGTAATATAATTCCAACGTGCTTACTATTTACTGTGTGTATTGTTAAGTAGCTGACTAGAAGCTTTATTGTGGTCGGAGAAGTGCTCAATATTTCCTATTGATTGATGTGAAGTCTAAGATGACAAACATTTAAAACTACTCAGTCTTACATCTCATAGCATGTTAGTGCGGTGCAATGTTTAGCTATTGCACACTGAGGAAAATAAAACCAGCACTGTTCAGAAAGTTGAACTGGGAGCATTTTCTCACATACAGAGTCAGATAATAAACTATAAATACCTTTTAAATGCTGGCTTGCTCCCTGACACAGCTCAGTGTTTCGAAGGGGATGGTGAGAGCAGACACGAGAAAATGTACACACGCATCATGCATTAAACCTAAGAAACAGGGTTGATCTAATGAATTCTTGTGATATTTTTTTCTTTGTTTGAATAAGGTCGTATAGAAAATGAAAGAAATAAAGCACTTATTTTGCTTTTACCCCCAATATTTTTTGGGGGGTGCTTAAAATGTGATTAGGATGCTTCAGCAGCCCTAAGAATTAGCTAGCAGGTAAAGAAAACAGAATAGCTTCCTTCTATTGCAAATAACCTTCCAAAATACATGCTGTCGATTTTTTTTTTTTAGATCTGACAAAAAAATTCTTCAATGCTAAAGGTATGCAGTTTTTAAGTTCAAGCACAAAGTGAAGCACATTTCCTATGAATTATCCTTGGAGCTGAAAATATTGAGGATTTCTCTTAGTACAGCCATGGAATATAACAGGCTTGCTTTGCCTAATCTGTTCAATAATCTGAAATGTTTCCCAGTTTATTTTCTTCATTCCTATTACTGATAATATTTCTCTTTAACAAACTGCAACCACTGCTCACATTCTCTCTGCAGTTTATTTTTCTTCTTAGTTTTTCAACTTTTACAGCTTTTCATTACCAATACAGCTCGAAGAATGGTGCCATTTTAAGAATTCAAGCAATGAAAAGTACAAACATTTGTTTCTTTTGTAAAGTAAAGGTAAAAAGTTATCTGAAAAATGAAATGGAAAAGTTACTTCCCACCTCTGCATCCATTTAGTACCGCTACAGAACTTAGGAAACCAGGTGAGCTTTGTGTTTCTTACTCTGCTCTTTCCTGTACACTCAAAAAAATAATATTTAATCTTAATGTTAAACTTAATCTTATTTAGTAACTTTAACACAATATGATCAAGTAAAAGCCAAAACGGTTGCAATCTTTTTTTTTTCAGTGTATAACTGCCTTATATCAAATCAAAACAAGAAAATGACATGAGATACTGATGTAATCCACAGATTTAATTTTAAGTATATATTTTCTCATAACTCCTTGCTAGGATTCACCCCAAATGTAAACAATAATGGCCTAGTCCTCCATAATAAATCTTGCATTTGGGCCATTGTTTGATTATTCAAATATGGACCACAAACATATTTTCAATACTAATCAAATACAAAACATAATGTGCAATGTTGTTTGAGCACCTCATTCTATTCGCTGTATTTAACTCACAAGTGATGCAGTTTACAGTGGCAGCATCATATGCGACTGGAGGCATGGGGAGTACAAGCCAATGAAATTACATTTAGGCCGACAGTGGCATGGATCTAAGAGTCATGTTGGTGAAAGTGTAGAGGAGATATGGACCCCCTCCAATTCTACCACCTGTCACAGCCAAGGGTTATTGGAAGCTATTAGAATTCATGGAGGGGAGTTTTATCAGTGTGGGTAATGGAGTGAAGAAGACATGTTGATTTGATGCAAATGCCAACAACATTTCATTCTCTTAGCATTAGACTAAATTGCCACTGTCAATCATAAGGTTGTCTCCATGGCAACTTTAAGGTTCAACCTGTATGTTGAGTGAGCCAGAGCTCCGTTTATGTGACACTTGTTTTTGTTTACATTAACAAGAAGAATCTTCAACAAGATTTGCACAGATGCAAAACACATTTCGTTCCATCTTTATATAGACTGTTTCCTCTCCATAATCAAAGGGACATGCAGCAACACATGGCTCCAGAAGAAATAGAACATCATGCTGATTCACTGCAATTTTTTCCATTGTTTTAATATTCATTTACAATTTAAATTGGCATCTGTATTCCTGAAGCCACATCTGAGGAACAACACATTTCTGTTGAGGTATGGAGAATATGAGATAAGGTCGCTTAGGGCAATAACTAGAAATGGGTCCAGCTGCACCGGTTAGAAAATGTGAGCTTAAGCAAACATTGCTTAACTTATATGCTTTGACTTTTTTTTTTTTTTTTAACTACATAAAATATAAATTTTATGTAACTGATTAGACAGAATTAAAACTGAAACTTGAATTTTGCAGCTTGGATTTTCTTTCTGAATACAACCTAAGCACTCACCGTTCGCTATCTAAACATATGGTAAATGATGTTGTTTACTGCAGTTCATTACCATGTCGTTAAAAACTATTACCCCTTAATGCTTCATGCTTTACTTGCATTATATGCATTCTTAGGATCCTTTAGAAGCATGTGTCATATAAATTGAGGTAAAAATAAAAGCCTCATCTAAAACTCCAAATTTCTTGCAAATATGTTCTTCTGATGAGAATTGTTCATCCATTTAAGAAGTGCCAATGCATGTCCCATATTTCTCATTATGTAATCACATCCCTGCACATGTGATTGTGCAGACATGCTGTGTCTCCTACATACCCCGTGTTAACCCTTTAAGTTTTGCTCTGTAGAGCTCCAAATGAGATCATGCCTCATGCGGAGAGGATAAGCTGCAGACAAGAAAATGACAGAATGAATTTCAAAAGAGGGTGCTGAAATGGGTTTGTTATGGGCTGAATAGATGTTATGTTTTTCCGTTAGAAAGTAGTTGAACAGGTGAAAAACAAAATGAATTATTTATCCTAAGTACAAATTAAACATTCAGTTGTGCTAAATCATTTAGCCATAGAGTTGCAGAGTAAACTCTCAATTGATTATGGAAAGCCTCAATTAAAAAACATTACATTTCGATGCATTTGGATCGATTCTTTATTTAGCAAATCTTATTATCTAATTAGTCAGAAGAGATACAGTTGCCTGTGCCTTAAATAGAAAAGAATTTTTAAACTTCCTTAAAATAATACCCAAACCCTCAATCAGCAAAATAATGATTTATTAGGGCAGTCTCCTGGTCTAAATGTTAAGGTCCTCCGGTATTTCAAAGCTAACTTGATTTGATTTTTCAAGCTGTCAAAGATCCCAGTAGTCTAAACATCATCATGTAAACACTTTTAACCCAATCATATTCTTTCCCTGCGATAACATTTACAGCATAATAGGGTCATAGATGCAGAATAGTGTTCTTTCAAAGAATGTGGGGTTTGTAGTTGGCAGCAATGATAAGCAGACTGAAAAAATGATAATGAACTTGATTCACTGTTTGTATCTCTAGAGAGCCTGGACAGGAATAGCTGGTAATGAGTTCAGTTCTTTGTGCTGGAATAGAAAAGAAATCTGAATTTTGAGTAAAAGCAGACTTTTGACCTTTTTCACTGGTAAACTTAAGAAAATGTGGACTTAATCTCCCAATGTGTTATCTTGAACTGTAGATGTGTGGTTGGCTGCATATTGTTATGCAACAACATGCATGCAATTGAGTGTGTCTGTGCAGTCACGCAAAAACTTTCCAGAGAACATGTTTAATTTTACTTTGCATCTTTATGCAATGTGTGAATGTTAGTACAGACGAGGCACAAGGACAATGTCTATCATCATGTAATATACAACTATTCTATCTTGTATGTAAATGGTTGACTGCTATTCAAATAACATACTGATGGGTCTTGGAGCTTATGCTTTTGGAAAGGACAGTGTGACAGCAAAGAATATCTGAGATATTATTTTAAGCATTTCTGTGCTTCATATTGTGTATTGTCTCTGAAAAATGTTCTCTGTGTGCTGATTTACAACTGTTAGATTAGGTTGTACACATGGGCAAAGGTCTGATGATATGTCAAGGAGTGTTATAACAAAAGGACTAAATAAATATGAAAGTTTTTTGCTTCAAAGCTTTTTATCTCTCAAAAATACATTAACTGTAATTTTTTTCAGAATACACACACACAGCCACCCACATATGTATATATGAGAGATAATAGTGAGGACATACACTAATAACTCTGTTCTGTTTTTTTTTTCTCTATAGATCTCTCCGAGGTCCCGTTTCTTTGAGTCACACACACAGCAAGTCTTCAGAGAGACCATGAAGAAAAGTTGCTTCCCTTAAAATTTTGACACTTCAAGAAATAATGACCTAACATGGATCTACTGCTAATTACCATAATGCTGAGAAAGCCATTGTAAATCCCTCACTCCTTTTTCGGCACCCAACCCAGCCCATTTCTTTTGGAGGTTTTTTGTTTCTTTACCCATTTCCTTTTCCTGCAAGCAAATCCTCCATTTTTGCCCTCACTGTAGCCTTTGCATTGAGTCTTGTCTTTTATAGCCATCATGCAGTGTCCTTCTATCGTCTCTGTTCTTCCTCTTCTGCTTTCTTCTCTTTTGTTTTTTTCCTGTTTTCCGGACATGGCCAGTGGGGACTGCTGGCTCATTGAAGGAGACAAAGGCTATGTTTGGCTAGCTATATGCAGTCAGAACCAGCCTCCTTATGAGACTATCCCCAACCATATCAACAACACAGTCCATGATTTGAGACTAAACGAAAACAAGCTAAAAGCTGTGCTTTTCAGCTCCATGTATCGCTTCACAAACTTGACAGACCTTAACTTAACCAAGAATGAAATCAGCTATATTGAGGATGGTGCATTTGCTGGACAAGCCAATTTACAGGTAATTACAAAATGGAGCTTCAATCTGACATTTTGACAGAATAAGATATTTGCTTGAATTTTATTAGAGACATCACATAATATTAACGTGGTCAAAAGATTTGCTATTTTGTTTTTTTTCTCCCAGGTTCTTCAACTAGGTTACAACAAGTTGACCAATATCACTGAGGGCATGATGAGAGGGCTTGGACGCATGCAGTGCCTATTCCTACAGCACAACCTCATTGAAGTTGTTGCAAGCAATGCATTCTGGGAATGTCCTAGTCTCAGCAGCATTGACCTATCGTCCAACAAACTTGCCCGCCTTGACCCATCCACATTCACTGATCTTAATCGCCTGATGGTATGTGAATTGGGTGCTAATCCATTCCATTGTGGTTGTGATCTTCTTGGCTTTTTGTTCTGGTTAGAGTCTTTCAACAATGTGTCACACACGTATGACCGCCTCCAATGTGAAACACCAAGGGAAATGTTTGGCTTTCCTTTACTAAGTCCTTTTGCTTCGAGTCACGCAGGCCGCAATGCCAAAAACATTTTGTACCATCGCTGCAGAGATGGTGTTATGATTCCAGGAATGACCTCTCTACCACCAGATCTTGATGGTCCCTCTGGAATTGGACCAGAAATGTTTGGCGTTGGGCCATACTACCAGCCCACCACATCTTCTTCATCTACAGATGACAGCTTGAGCCCAAGTATTAAGCTCCATCATGTTTCTTCATCATCAGCCTCTGTCATTATAAAAATCCCAAGACCATACAGCAAAATGTTTATTCTTACACAATACAACAACACTTTGGTCTCTGATGTCACCAATTTGAAATTAGCTATACAAAAGATTACTCTTGACAAGCTTAGGCCTAACAATAACTACACCTTCTGTGTAGGTTATATCCGTAACTCACAACGTTATAACAACACCTGTCTACAGTTTACCACTCGAGGACAAAGCCGGGACGATATGCTCCCCACTCCCTCAACCACTACTCACTACATAGTGACCATTGTTGGCTGCCTTTTTGGTATGCTTATTGTTATAGGAATTGTTTACTACTGTCTTCGAAAAAAACGGATGCACGATGAAAAGAAAAAGTCAATATCTGTCAAAAAAACCATACTTGAAATGCGTTATGGGCCAGAGGTGGCTGCAGCAGTAGCAAATGATCCATCTGCAGTCCAAAAGCTTCAAGAACAGTCAAGGGAGCATCACCAATATCAGCATCATCATGGTGGAAAACTGTCTACTTCCTCAAGCTCTGGATTGCTACACTCTGCAAATACTACCTCCTCAAGGCTTTCCTCTATCCCTCAAGTAGAAAAGATGGCCTCTGCTTTCTCTGAAGCCATGGGTACAAGTAAAGGAAACTATATGGATGTGAGAACTGGAGGAGCAGGGATGGAGAGAGTGGGGGATGGTGGTCATGGCAGTAGAAGGGGAGATGACCTGAGGGATGATGATGAAACTGATCTTGGTAATGATTCCGATGATGATGGACATGGTTCTGCATCAGAGATCTCCACTATTGCAATGGAGGTGGACAAAGTTAACCAAATTATTAACAACTGTATAGATGCCCTAAAACTTGATGCAGCAGCAGTTGCTGCTTCAAGCACCTCAACTAATCACACAGCTTCATCAAATCCAACCTCCCCACCGCCAACCAGTGCATCCTCCCTTACTCGTGGCATTATCCCAGGGGGTACAGAGACATGTCAAGTCATTGCTCCAAACAAAATACCACCTCCTCCTCCCCTGCCTGCATTAAATACGCCTCTCTCCGAGCGACCAGGGATAAGTGGTGGGGGCTTTGTTGTTACTCCCCCATACAGGCACCCACCCCCAGCCACAGCTGCACGTCCAATTCAGCGCCAAATGAGCGCAGATGCTGCTGTTGTTATGGCAAATGCCGTCAAGAAACAGAGCAGTACTGCATCTTGTGGCTCAACAGGTCGAGACAGAGAAAGAGGAGGAGCTCGAGTATATAGCTTGGATGTTCCTGAACCAAGAAGCCCAGATGCCTGTAACCAAAAACAGCCACAGTACCCAGACCGAGCTAGTCCTGTGGGATGTGGAGAACCGCTGGAGAGGCTGCCTTTAGTGGGGAGTGGGAGCTGTGGAGGAGGGGGTGGTGGTGGTTGCGACAGTGGTGGTGTTGGTGCCCAACATCAAGACAGCCAAAAGTCCCATCATTATCATCAGCAACAACAGATACAACAGCAGCAGCAACAGCAACTGGAGGTGCAGCAGGACTACCACTGCTCGGAGCACCGCCACTCTGTCCCAGCTCTCTACTACCAAGGGTCCCACCATGGCTCCCCAGCCCAGCGTGTTTCTTTTCTAAAGCCCCTGACAAGATCCCGCAGGGACGCAGCATCCTATTCCCAGCTTTCGCCTGCCCGCCAACACTCCGGTTACTCTGGATACTCTTCTAGCCCAGAGTACTCATCAGAAAGTTCACTACGTATCTGGGAGCGGTTTCGCCCATACCGAAAAGGGCCTCGTGATGAGGCCTGTTATGTAACAGCTGGAAATGCTCTTCGAAAGAAGGTGCAGTTTGCTAAAGGTGAGGACCTGCATGACATCCTTGATTATTGGAAGGGTGTCTCTGCTCAGCAGAAGTTGTAAATGGTGACAAAAATTCTGAGGCTAAAATGGAGTTTTGGTACTTTTTATCCTGATAAGCCCATGGGCTGGAGAAACCATTTAAAGTTTATTGAGGGGAAAAATGTTGGACAAAGTTTCTCTGCGGGCGTTTTTCCCCCTTTTTGGCATGCTAGGTGTATAGGATATCATGCTACAAGCAAGTACTGTGAAACTGTGCCTGGGAATCGGACATTCATTACAGTGTGTTTTTATTACTTCATTGTAGCATTTTATTTGTAATTTGCGTGCTTCATTTACTATACAGGGAACAAATACCAATCGTGTAATTTAGTATTCTTTAACTGATCATGTTTGTGATCCTATGGACCATTGTACTTATCAGTGCCATGTTTCATCTCAAGCTTTAAGCTTGTTTGATCCTAGATGTTTCTTGTTGTGTATTGGATTTAACATCCATTTCAGCTTCTACAAAATATGTCATTTGGATAGTGTGGGATCAGGGCCCTGGTTAAAAACTGGCAAAAGTAGTTGAGAGACAATCTGCATTGTGCAGTATTGTACCCTTTTTTCATTTGAAAAAAGGGATTATTTAACCACAAATGCTCATATGAAATAAAAGCCATTGGTTCAACTTAGTTACTAGGTTTTGTAATTTTGCAGAGGGAAAATCAAAGTAATGGTTTGTTTTAATCATTCAATGTATCACTATTACAGCACTTTTTAGAGCATATGTGTCTAACTTAAGGCCCACAGATTGAATCCATCCCTCCACAGCAATTTACCTGGCAGTAAATACAAGAATATCATGTTATAAATCTGAGGTCTTGTAAAGTGTGAAAAGTGGTTAAAGCTGTTCAATAAATATTAATACTTTAATAATAAAAGAGCAGTGAGCTCTTTTTAAATTAAGTTATAAAATCAAAAGTTGTATTAGCTACCACAGGCCCTTTTAGAGACTTGCACATGCTGAAGTGGCCCTATACACAAATGTGCTTAAAGCCTTGGTTTAAAATTTTACTTTATCAAAAATAGATTGTACACAAAACTAATTGTTGTCAAACTTTTATAAATATTTATCAGGTGATAGATTATTCAATTATTATTAGAGGTCTGACTATACATCAAGCCCATAACGGGATCCTGGATGAGTGGCTCTTTTGAACAAGATTGGAGATAATTTTACAAATATTCTTTTACTATAATTAAAATATCCTTACAAATTAATCAAAGGATTGAAAATCACACAATGTGTTTTAAAGAAAATCTCATATCTGCAGAGTTACAGTACAAGTTTGAGCTGTCCATGTTATAGTTTTTATGTTTTTCTCAGTCTAAGATGGGACCTAAGTCAAATATGAATTGAAAAGGCTTTGGCTTTTGATTCACTAATATAGTAAAAGTCACATTAATTTCTTTACTTCGCTTTTATGTTTAAGCTGTCTAAATGTTTTAGAATTTGAAATAATATCATTAAATTCAGCCCGGAGTCACTAAAAAAAGGTTAAATTGCCTTTTAGTTTCACACTGATTGGATATTTTAAAACAGATAGCAACTACATCATCCTTAGTAGCTCTGACTAACTTTCTACCATGTAATTAATATGCTGCTGGATAAATGATTCAGTACTAATGGAGGCTTATCCAGTGTTTATGTGAATTTTTTAGCCTGCAATGATGACAAAAATCCTGTAAGTAGGCTCTGTCATTACAACACGACTACTCAAGCGCCAATTCCCATCTTACTTTATGTCTTAAACATAGACAACAGTTATAACAAGCTTATAAGTAGTTGTATGCAGGGCTTATAATAGCTTAGGCTTACTTCACCAGAATTTGTCCGAACCTGGAAGCAGCTTGATTAAGTTGTGGGAGACGGTCTTTGATGCATTTTTATGTCCTGAGATATCAGGGCACAGGCTTCTTTTTTTATACCATTAGGTGATACCTGCCTAAGGATTTTTTTACTATAAAAATGTGTTTTAAATTCATTTATAGATATATCTACTTATCTATTCTAAGAAAGCTGCTGTGTTCTATGGTGCACTGACTAAAAAGAAGAAAAAAAAGTGAGAATGTAAGAATAAAAACAATCGAAAGATTATGGACGATATTTATAAGTACATAATTGATTTAAATAAGTTACAAACTTGTTATGTGGAGATCATTGTTTGATATGAGCATGATGGTACATTCCAAATTCCTTTTCAAACATATAAAACTGAATGGGGCACAGCAGGAAAGGATGTTTATGATTACTGCCAATGTGTCAACTCTGTTTTGGAATCAATTGCTATTGTGGTCTATAAATGATAATCTAATTAACCATTTGTGACAGGCATGTCCTCTTGCATTTAAGCCTCATAAATGTGTATGTGTTACTGTGTGGTACACAGTGGTCATTGTACTGTAAGCAGGTGTCGGCATGCCTTGTCAGATATTTTATATGCCCAAACAGGTTTAAATTTATACTTCTTATGTTTCCCCTGTGGCTGGTTATCAGAGTATTAAAACAATAGAGTATAAATGGCATGTACAAATGTACAGATGTCATATAAGTTCATGATATTTCTTCACAGGTTTGATATTAAGACACTGTAATGATCCACTGTGTATTTCTGAGACATCAACAAGCTGAAGGACCTTTCTCAAACTTTCTGTTAAAATTGTGCTTATCATAAACCTCAGTTTATTTTGCTACCCAAACTTTCAAATACATCCTGCCCTAAAAATGTGCATATTTATCTTGCTGGTATTTTTTAACATTCTTCTAGGACTCTCTTTTACTGACTTTCCACTTAACCTGTTCCCTCAGGTCCATTTACGACGACAGAATGAGGGAAAGTAATGGTTTGATACGTAGGCAGACATTAGCTGGTTTTCTGGATTGTGTTTAATTTAGATTTTTGCAGTTTGTTATTAAGGAAATATATACAAGTTGAACAGGAAATATGCACAAGAATGTCCATTTATCTCAGAGCTAGTCTGCGTCTTATTATTCTTTTTTATTTTCCTGAACAGAGTTTACTTAAAACTTTTTACCATTTTTTATGTATGAAAGTGGTAGAAATTAGCATTCATTTAAAACTGTGTCTATATGTGGAAAGTGGGTCCATAAAAATAAAATAAATGCTTATACTTCAGCTTTGAGGTGAGGAAATATTTTGGCTTTCCCATCAAATAGTTTTATAGGGAAGACCACCATTTGTAAACATTAAGACATTTCAACCTTTGTTGCTCTCTAAACATCTGAAGTGATATTTTTTTTTTAATTAACACAAGAGACTTTATCAAGACCCAGGATAATTATTTGTTGTGTTTATTGCTTGATTTTTGGGAGCATTTAATCAAACAGTTGGAACGTGGTGTATTCATCTAATTGCAGTCTGAACTGCCATAACAAGTTTACAAGAAAAATGGATGCCGAGGATAACAAGAAGCATTCAGGATTATAACGATGCCTTCATCTCAGTAGCTATTTCTGTTTATTTTACAAAATAATCAAAAAAGTGACAGGAAATGCTGTTTGTTACTATTTTCATGAATAACAGTTCAATTCATGCATTTCTGTTTTATTAACACACAAACACACACACACACACACAGACACACATATATATATATATATAGAGGTCAATGAATTTTTCAGGAAATAGACTTTCAGGTGTGAGATTTTTCAACTGCTCTTCTGCTCAGACTGTATCCAAAATGTTGTTTGAACAGACTATGAACATTAAAAGTCCAATTTCGATGTGGAGTTATGATGTGTTTTATTTCCAAGGTGAGATTTAAAACAATGTCTACATAGATATATCTGCTGGTGTCTATATGTGCTTGAAAATGGTGCTGGACTTAGTTAAGATGAGTCAAGTCCAGCTATCAGCATCTTTGTTTAATTTAAACTTGGACATGGACAGGATATGCTGCATGGGAAAACAAAACGAAAATGATATTGTTTGTTTAATGGGTAAAAAAAAAAACAACTGATAAGACGGGTTTTAATTAGTGTTGCGCCGATGCCATTCTTTGGCCCCGATACCGATACCTGGCTGTGCAATATCGGCCGATAACGATACCATAATAATGTAAAATAATTGCCATCATGGCTTTGTCGAGCTGCTGCCTACCTTTGTGAAGCAGGAAAAAATCTAATACAAAGTGAATCCAGTAGAACTTTTTATTGCCTACCAGGGGTGGGTGACAATAGTTGAATAAACTTATGGCTCTCAAAATGGTATCGGTGCCCTATTTGTTGGTACTCGCCGATACCGATACCACCATTTTAGGGTGGTATCGGGGCCCCGTCCGATACTGGTATCGGTATCGGTGCAACACTAGTTTTAATGGATGCCCATTGGTGAGATCGTGGTTAGGTTTGTACCAATGAGATATGTAGTGAGGGATAAATCAAAATAAACTGCAGGAATTTAAGAGGCAGTGAACTCATCTTGTTTGTATGAAATAAAAACTTTTTTTTATCAATAGATAATCATTTTATTATCTTGTTTTGGGGAGGTTTCCCAAACAAGATGGATCAAAAGTCAACACAGCAGCAAAAGCAACATTTAGATTTGTTATTGGTCTACAACCCCACAAACATAACCACCACCAACAACCTCCCCCCTCATTTCTCCCTATCTGGATACATGCAGATTGTAAAATTTTAAATCTCAATCAAAAATATGAGTCATAGCATCAGCAGTGAGGCTGTGTTGTCCCACATAGCCAGCAACAAAAAGAAAGAAAAATCTCAGCCCACATTCTCAATGAACCCCTGGAGGGTGTCTTGCTCAGAGATGGATGGTCCTTTTGTAACGCTATCCCTCTTGTTTGTCTTGGCACCGCGGGAAAGTGAGACGGGAAAAAGCCATCCACTGCACTATTAATGTTTAATCATTTTGTTAGAGACTGGCTTGGGTGGCGTCTGAAAAAAACAGACATTTTTCAGTTTGAAACTTGTTACTTGTAATCTGCTAATGCAACTAATGCTTTAATTAAAAACTGTGCACTTTTATCCCATGTGACCACTGCATAAAAAAAAAAATATTCCAACTAAAACATTCACTTAACATTATAGATAAACAAGAGCATGTTTTCTTAAAATAAAGTGTATGTTCAATTGGAATATATATTTATTTGTCCCTCCTTTACCCTCCTCATAACCCCCCAAAAAAGAAAATTTAGAGCAAGAGCAGATGATGGAAATGCAATATACAAATGTGAGTCAGAATGAGTCACATACTGACTAAACCAGAATGACTCTTTTCCTGCAAGGCAGGTAATGTGCAAGGTCTTCAGAGAAAAGGGCATTGCATTAGATTTTGGTTGAATGCTGGCCGACATCTGTAATAAAAGATGTGAAAGGATGGCAGCACTAAAAGTTACCCTGCATGAATCAGTGTATTGCTTTAGATGCACAGTTACAGAGGAATTCTCTCACAAATATGAGTGCTAATCTCCAAGGTATAGCAGGATTTTTTTTTTTACAAATTCAGAAAATGTAACAAAAGGAAAAGTAGCTCATCAGAGCTTAAAGTCAGGCAGCTTAATTTGCATTTGATGTAAATGCAGGTGCAAGCACTGACAGTAGGATGTAAAGCCTTTCATTTGTTATCATTTGGACCTTTTTTAAATAGTCTGTTAAGTCTATTAGCTTTCTGTCTGGGAAATTAGCCTGCGTGGATAACATGCCATATTTGATTAGCGGAAAATTGTGTGTCTTTTCATAATAGCTACAAAAAGGCATATTGAACAAAATTACACACACCCCTTCTTGTGCTGGTTGCTCTGATGTGAAACTGTGTTTAATTAAAACATGAAAACATAGTCAGTTGTTGAAGCAAGTAAAACATGTAGCCCTGTGGCCGGGGTGTGCATGAGGAAGAGTTTCCTAGAACAACTACACTTATAGGGTACCAGAATGGCTTGTTACCTTCAAAACCACTTTAATAGATTGTGGCATTTAATCAGAAAATATTCCTTTTACATGTTCATACTGAAATGATATCACACAGTTCCTGCAGATTCTTTTAGCCACACATCCATAATTAATCGTTTGTTTCCCCACGTTCCAAAGACGTTCGGTATCATTTATGAAGCCCTGTTACTTTAAACATTATAAAAGGAGATGAATATTATCAGTAGTAGAAACAATGATCAGTTGGTAGATTCAAGCTCAAAGAGAGCCTAGAAAATATGCCCCATATCACTACACCTACCCCACCAAATCAAGGGGGAAATAATACATCATAGCTCCACATCCCACACAACCAAGTGCTAAAGATTAGTGATTGGAACATGCATAACCATAAATAAAAAAATAGGGAAACATGTCTTTCTGAAGCACATCCTTTAAAATTGCTATCTGGGTGTACTAGCTTTAATTTGTTACTGGCCAAAACCTTTTGAGCAGAAGAGTTTTTGTAAAGGTGAGCTATAAGTTCATGGTTTTCATTGGACCTAACTTCCAAAGGACTCAATCTTATAATATCTGTGAATTTTGTAAACAACATAAAAAGATAAGGTTACAAAAGTTTCTATGGATGTTTTGTATTCAGCTTGAATTTCTTGATATGTCTGTGTGCTTCTCAGTTTTTAGTTGAATGTTTCTTTTTTGTCTAATATTTTTTGGGGGACTGGGAGGTGATTCAAGGGACTGACTTTAAGTAATTGCAATGATATCTGTCAAAAAGGTTAAGAACAGAGAAATCTTAACTTAGTGTTCTACATAAAAGAAAAAAAAAGCTGTTATCTTTGCATGATTCCTGTACTTTTTGAGTGATAAAAATATAATGTTCTGTACAATGAGTGATCGCACATTGAAAACAAAACTAAGGCTGAGATAGTTTTGTCAAGTACCTTTCATTGAGCATTAAGGGGTTATCTGTTCTCTCTTTCTGTCTTTTTGATGTTGTATATGTACATTCTTGCCAACTGGTTATCATTTTTTTTTTTTGTATCACATACCAACGATGAAGAGGCACTTATTATTTTGGCCACTGGTTGGAGAAGTTTACACGGCTTAATTGCTTTCATTCATATCCATACCAGTTTATAAAGATTTGTTTCTCACTACAGATAGCAGCTGTTGGGTTCCAGGTTCGAGGCCATATCACAGCAGGGCAATTCTATCTTAATTCAG